ATCGCCGCAATAGTAGCCGATTGTGGGTCCCATCGATAGCCTCTCTATGAATGCAAACACTTTCAACCGATCGCACAGTGAGAGCACCGGTTGTCGGCCACCAGTAGTGGACAGGTATGACAGCAATACATTATGCGGCCGATGAGCAGCCCTGGAAATCCATGTGCATAATACACACACCAAAAATTGTAATGTGAAACCAAACATTGCTATTATAAACATCATGATCCGAATAGAAACATCCATGTTAATGTTGGTCACCATATGAATTGTTGCTTGATTACCAAATGTCATAATAAAATATATAATAAATATAATGTATTTCATGGTTTCGTTGAGACGTTTTGTCTGTAATTCCCAGTAATTGTGTTCAACGATAGCCGACATTAATAGCCGTTTGTTATTGTTTTTTATACTTAATGCTATTCTATGGGATATTTCTAGAAATTTATGTTTCAGATAATAACATGTCATAAACCATAGACTAAACCCCAAAAATGTAATTGAATACATTGTTAAACATATCAATATATTGTGTAAACTATATAAACAAAACAGAGTAAATGTCACAAATGTTATGCTAGATAAAAATATAATAACTTGATGATAATTTCCGATTAGACTAGTTAAAATAACTAAATTGAAAAAAGAAATATGATTAATATAGAAATCGAGCCAGCCCATATATTTTGCCAACATTCTAACCCTATATACGCTCAAAGGATAATAAATTATATTATACTTAATTAAATGCATAAAATTAAATAATGACATTTTGTGATAGTATTCTTGATATGTCATTAACGAGCCAATACACACATAAGAAAACGATACACTGGAGCACATGGTGAAGAATATATCCTTATTCTTCATATGCACAGGGTAATATAAAAGTGTCAAAATATAATTATTGGTTGTCACGAGAAATATAAAAGTTCGTATAAATAATAACAGGACTAATACTCGACTCATAATAACTGCATATAATCTCCATTTGTTAGCATTAGTGACCGCACGCGCGGACACGCGTTCGTACGAGTCGTCGGATATCATGTTAAACGTGTTTCGCGCGAATGACCGCAACTTTTGGCATTCATTACGCATAGCGTTATTTCCGTTATTCAGGAAACTTATTTTGAATAATAGAAAATTATGTTTATTTTTGAACATTTTAAATAATAATCGTCAATTACTATTTTAAAAATCTAAATATTTACTTTTCTCTTAAATATATAATATTTGCTTATAGATGCTTAGCTATATTATACTTTGAGTGCACTTTTTAATAGCATTATATATTTAAAAATGCATCTACGTTTATTGAATTAATTTATTGATTTTGTAATTAATTTGATATATTATGATATATTAATATAGATATTGCGTGATTGTTAATTTACATATTAAATAATATTTATAAAAGCATTATTTGAAGTATTGATTTTGGTTTGTTATTAATTGTATGGAATAATACTAAACATGTAGGTAATAAGGGAAATTTTATGATACAGGTATATTAATATAATTATGCAACAATTATAAAGATTTACCTTGATCATAACTGTTAAAGTGCTTTTAAATATTGCGATTTGTTCAATATTATATAAATGTTGTTTAATAATACTATACGGTATACTAAATTGCATATTTTTGAAAATGTAATTCATCAGCTTTTATTTGTAAATTTGTATATAATATTTATATAATAAATTATGTAATTAAAACATCTCGAATTAATAAACATTTGTTGTTAATTACAATCATAAGAAAGGGTATAACAATTACCGGAAAAATGTTATAAATACAACAAATTACAAAAATAAGTAATTATGTTATTTATAAAATAAATGTTCAATAGATTTCATTATTATTTTACTGATTAATGTTTAACTTAATGATGCATAACTTGTTTAATATAGTTGTGTTATATAATTATTATCAAGGTCCATGAATAACTACATTATTAATCTTAAAATACAACCATAATTCTTTATAAATATTTATTAAATTTATTTTTAACAAGTAAAAATAGTCAGTAATATCAAAATATAATATATTATAATACAATGTATATGATAAATTGAATTATGATAGATTAATTAAAAATTGTATATTACATAATACTTTAAACTTAAATTACTATTAATACATTGATTAATAAAATCCTCACATTCAATACCAAAGAGTATATTAAAATTAATAAACAAAATCTACACACTTCTTGTTTGTGGCATAACTTCAGCCGGATCTTTTGGTGCACCACTTTTCACAGTACCAACTCGCTTTTTAACTTGCGATATAATGTGATCGGTGCCATCCAAGGCCTTTCCCTGGACACCGGCCACCACATCACTGGCCACGTCTATACTCGTCGATTTCTGACCTGCAATCCTATCGGCGGCGGCGCTTAACGATTCAACTATATGTCAATTAAATAATTTAGTTATAATTATTATTAATATATTTAAAATAAATCAATATTATACGTACGAATACCTGCCGGTACACAAACAGCTAATATAATGACCATAACAGTATATTTTGAGCATGGTTTATATTTATTTAATTTTGTAATATTTTGCAAATTTAATAATAGTTTCTATTCTTTAGACATTTTATCTACATTTTATTTTATTACCTAATATATAACAAAAAGTCCTTAAAATATATTACATTAAAAACTGTTGTAAATGTTGTAAAACACAAGTTTGTATTCAAGAATTATTATGTATTAAATTTTTTCGCATTGTGTTTAACACAATTAACACAAGGATTTCCTGAGAATATTTTTATGTCATTTACTTAGTCTAACAAAAAACAATAAATTTATAAAAAAGACAAGTTGTTATCACGTATTGTATGAAATATTTTGTTACATATCTGTGTTTCCAATGATTTTACTGATAATTACATTTAGAGGCAAAGGAAATGATTACGTGTTATTTAAGACAAAGGAATTGTTAGATATTTCACTATTGAATTAAACATTTCTTTATCCACATCAATAAAATTTTATAATAAATTTTAGTTATTAAATCAACCGAACTGTATAAATAATTGTTACTCAATTAGGCAATTAATAACAAACTTATTTTTAACGAAGAACTATGGAGGTAAATATAATTTTAATTGTTTTAATAATAACATAATATTATATAATATTATTTAAATAATTAATGTTAGCTTATTAGAAATTCTACTTGAGATAGAACTGTAAGATTAATTTCCGTTTGAGGGCAACTAAGGTACCAGAAATAAGTTCAGTAAAGTTTAGATTAGTAATTTTCTAACACAAAAATTATATAATTCATTAATAATAATTAATTTTTAAAAAGTAAGTAAAAGTTATTTAATAATACAAGTCAAAAGACCTTCCAATGAAGTCTGCCATAGACATACTTTCCTTCTCTGTTTTTTACGTATTCACGGACTTACCCCGCAGTTCGTCCCCTCTTTCACATACAGTTTATCGGTTTAATTGTAGAATGCATTGTCTGTGAACTATAGGTACTTGTAGTGAGAAATAGTGTAGTGCAAGATATTCTCTCTCTCTCTCTCTCTCTCACACATTTTTTCTATAGTTATAAAGCGATTAAAGTTTTGTGTGAAACACATAATACACAATATAAATCCCAGTCAAATACCAATCTTGTCAACTATCTATGTTGTCACTACTCTGTTTGTTTTATCAAATATTTCCTATGAAAAAAGGAGATATTATATGAAAGGATCTGGTAGTTTTTTTTACATATTCTATGGGACTAACGTTAACTCTATGGGAAAATGTTTTAAAATGGGTTTCTTTTAACATGGGATTAAATTTATTTAAATTTTGTATAAGCTCGATGTGGAATTTAACGCTGATCTCGAATCTGAAAATAATAATTTTGTATCTAATCAGACCTTCAATTCTCAATTCGAGTCTGAGTTCGAGCCAATGCAAGTGCTGGGAAGGGGTGGCTTTGGACTCGTGTTTGAAGCCAAGCGTAAATTCGATGGAAACCATTACGCAGTGAAACGAATATCCTTTCCCGACCTCAAAGAGCGGAAGGATAAAGTGATGCGAGAAGTGACGGCACTTTCGCAATTGGATCACTCGGGGATTGTTAGGTATTATAACGCTTGGATAGAAGTGCCGCCTCCGGGATAGCAGCAAAACAGAGACCAACACCTGTTCCCCACCGAAGACAACGCGTCCACACTTCCCGGCGAATCTTTCTATGACAATGAGAGCAATGAAATGAGTACTGAAACAAGTTTGGGATCCAATCAATCGGAACAAATTACATCAGACACTCAAAGCAATGACAGTCTTGTAGTTTTTGATGAAAATGCTACTTCTGTTCAAGTAATTGATAGGAATACCAGTGAAAGTTTAGGACTGTCTACAAATTGCAATGTTTCTGACGCAAGTAAACTGATTGCAAAAAGCAATAGACAACCGTTAAGTGTAAACCCAGCGCTTCCGCGCTGTTATCTCTACATTCAGTTGCAATTGTGTAGTAAAGACACGCTTAAGGATTGGCTCCTAAATAATTCACTTAATCGCGACTCAAATAAAATGTTGGATATATTTAAGCATATCGTCAGTGCTGTCCATTACGTCCACTCAAGAGGTTTAACGCATCGCGACCTCAAAGTAATGCACTTTATTTAAAAAGTTGTAATTATTGTTAAATTAATAGTTAGTATTTATATGACTAGCCGTCAAACATATTCTTCTCAATGGACGGCAATATTAAAATCGGAGACTTCGGGTCAGTCACGGCTACGGCTGCCGATGAGGGGACACACATTCCCGGCGCTACATCTCTAACACAATCCTCCAGTTCTAACACAACTCGGGTCGGAACTAAACTCTATATGAGTCCCGAACAGGTATTCATTGGTTTAATTCATGTTTGAATTTTTGTGCAATAAATTAATGATAACTTACGCCAAAAGTTGCAAAACCTTTGGTACACTAATAAAGTGGACATATTTTCGATGGGAATAATATTATTCGAGCTTTTAGTTTTTTTTAAGACTGAAATGGAAAGAAGAAAAGTCTTAGAAGACGTCAGAAAATTGATTTTCCCCAAAGGTTTTTGCGAAAAACACTCGTCAGAGGTTTGTTAACACATTACTATTACGATAGAGTTGTATAAAGTAGTTATGTCTTACGTTTGCTTTCAGTGCGATCTTCTTTACAAACTTTTGTCCCACAATCCGGACGACAGGCCCTCAACCGTTCAGATTAAAAAACACAACATTTTTACCAGTAAATTGAAAACTACCCAGGTTCCCACTTCGAATTTAAGTAATAATGAACCTCTGAACTCGCACAAGAACAACATGGTAAGCAACATTTAACTTTTTAATTTATTATATATTAAAATAATGACGTATATATTATTAACTACATTAATTAATAATGTATATCCTAAATGATTTTAATCTTTTAATTCAATTTTATAATTCCATAACTTAACAGACGCCTAGGGAAACAGTTGGCCCAACTTATTCTGGTCAATCCATTAGTGTTAATATATCTCATAATGAAAATTTGCAATTTAAAAATGTGGTCAATCAGTCAACGACACACTATCACAACAAATAATAATAATGATGGTCGTGTTTGTGTCCAAATATCTATGTAATTTAATTATATTACATTAAATACTCCCTATATTTAATGTTATCACTAATGATCAATAATTATCACTATTTTGTCAACTAATTAAAAATTTCAAGGGAGGGGGGAGGGGGAGCCGAACAATCCTATAAACCACATTATTCATATCTGAATTGTGGTTAAAATATAAATTCATTATCTCGTGCTGATATTCATAAACGACCGAGATATGACCATTTTAGAGATTCGCGTATACGGCTTATCGCATTGAAAAACTGTGTTTCACATCATGCTTGGGCCAATCACCAGTACTGTATTGCTATATGCTGTATGGTCATATTTTTGTCGTTTATGGATATCAGCCCGATATATAACTTTATATTGACTATTTAATTATATAAATTATATTAACTTTATATTTTTTATTTGGCCTAAACCACAACCAAGACTAATTGCATCAAGATCCGTGTTACGTACAGCGTGACCACCTGTTCTCTATTTCAGAGAACTGTTCTCTATTTGGACACATTAGCCACTGTTCTCAGAAGAGGTTTCAGAGCACTATTAAATGTTCTCTATTTTTATTTTAAAATACTTGTATGAAAAACGTGCAAAACAGTAACACAAACTTTTAAAAAATTATATATATAAGCTGTAAATGTTTTACAACA